ATTCCTTGCGTTTCATGCGACATAACGAGATGCGCGAAAACTTTCAAAAAGTAGCTTTTTCCTGATAATCTACTTTTTCGTCTCGGAGGGCTTGTGCTCTGGATATGGATTTCCCCATGTATTTTGCACCATTGTGGCTGTGCGCATTGAAAACTGGAGCGGCCGGTTGTTTGGTTGGCTGGTTGGCGCGTTGGCTAGCTGGTTGGTTGGTTGGCTGGCGGTTTTGGGGCCAAGGCGGTCTTGGGGCCACCTCGGCGCCTCTTCCCGCAGCGAGAAGAAAAAAACGAGGAACATGTTTGCCTTTCGGACCGTTGCAGCGACCAGGACAACCTAAGATGTCCCAAGGTCGCCCCAAGACGGCCCAAGAGCCCAAGGCCCCCATGAGGATCCCATGACGGCCCAAAAGGGCCCCAGGAAGGCCCCAAGAGGGGGAACTGGATTTGAGTTTTCGAGCCCTCCGCTCCAAAGGAACCCCGGAGCCCGCCAGCATGCCCCAGAGAAGCCCCCAAGACGCCCCGACCGGCCCAGGGCCGGTCCTGATTCAGAATACGGGGATAGACATACACGGCGACAGCTCCTTAGGAATGCCACCCCAAGGCGGCCCCCAAGAGGTCCTTCCCGGGTGCTGGGGCGTATTGCAATCGTCGCTTGCTTTAATATTGTATTGAACATGTCGTAGCCATTTTGGCTCTTGGCTCAGATATCTTTGTGCATTTGCGACGAACTGTTGTTGGAGAGGCCTTGCGGCCGGTGCCGCCGACCCTGAACGACGACGACGACGAGCGCTCTCGGGAGCCTCTCGGGGGTAGTTCGGCGGCCTCTTGGGAGGCTCTTGGGGTCTCTTGGGAGCCTCGTTGGGGCTTCCTGGGCGCCCTTCTGGCGGAGGGCTGGATATGTTCGTTCGGGTCCCCCGTATGGGCTCCCTCTTGGAGCCGTCCTCGGGGCCTCGTGGGCCGTCTTGGGGGCCTCTTGGGTCGTCGTGGGGCCGTCTTGGGTCGTCTTGGGGCGATCTTGGGGGCCTCTTGGGCTGTCTTGGAGCGTCGGGAAACCGAAACCAAGAAAACCCCCCAAACCTGTAAAACCTTTTGCGTTTGCGAGGACTTGTTATTTCGCTCCTTCTACGTGCATGGCGGCGCCCTCTGGATTTGATTGGATACTTGATTGTGGATCTATCAGGCGAGCGCAGACAGTTCATAGCTGCATTCGTGCTCGGTCAGAAGCGCGCCAGTGCGCGATCAAGACGTCCTGGTTAGAAAAATCGAGGGTGCATGTCACGTGGAAGTCTTTAGCAAAGCAAGCGCACGTACTTCACTTTTTCTCTGCGCATCTCCCAGCAGATGTTTACCAGCTTGTGAGTGTCACGCTAGCGCCGCAAGCAATCAACAAGACGGGGCGTCGCCCTTGGCTCGACGAGGTCAGCAAGGCTGCATTGAACAACCCGGGGAAAGTCAAATGGGCACATGCAGCTAACGTTCTCAAAAGGAGCAGAATGGGCGCGATTTCTAGAGGCTCGTACCAAGCCTTGTTCGATAACCCAGGAGAGCGGCGTGATGATTGGGAAGGCTTGATGGATGACATTCTTTTGGTTTACATCATGGGCCGTGAGCTAAGGGCAGCTTTCAAAGTACACAAGGGCGAGGATGGTGAGCACAGTGAAACGCTGTTGCAAGAATTTAAAGATTTTGTCTTAGAGACCACGGTCGACGGCGGTGAAATCAGCACCTCCCAGTTTCATCGCATGATGCTAAGGAGGAACCGGGTGCGCGAATTGATGACGCCGGGTGTTCCAGAGTGCTCATTAGCATCTGACTTTATCCACAGCCAGCGCCACAACGTTCATCTGGAAGATGACATTCAAGGGTTTTTACCGTTGTATGATCGCTTGCGTGCCGGCGCGCGGACTCTCAAGGACAAGATGGGCGCGATTCGCACAACATTCTTGGTGTGGTCGGGCAGAAGCCGCTCGGTTGCAACCTTTTTCTTGGAGAGCGAAGCCCCGCGCTTGACAGAGATGGATGATGTCTTTTCGTTTATCCAAAACCATAAGGGGCCATGTGGTGACGGGAAGACGTCCGATTCAAGGTATTTTGTAAGCGTTGGCCCAGGACAGAATGCCACGTGCGCGGCGGCAGTGCTCAATACATTCGAAGGGGATAAATTGAAAGCATTGGTTGGCATTGCCAAAGCCAGTAGCGTGGACGAGGCTTTTCAGCACATGTTATCTCTACGTGATTTCGGAGGAGAAGATTCGACTCGATTTATAATCAAAAATATGTTAGCGCCGCTGGGTTGTGCGGACATGCAAATGCCGTCTCAGTTATTCGCGTGGTCTGAGCAGTGGCAGGCTCTCGTCATTGCAGGCCCCAATGCAAATAAATTTTTCTTTTGCTGGTATGGTGAGGAGAAAGACCACAGGAAACGGCACGTGGCCAATGAGAATCGCGTGCGGCATACGTTGAAACGCATCAATGCGAAGCTGCCGAAGAGGTTGGTGTGCAATTGGCACACAAAGCAGTTCAAGAAAGAGCTGCGGCGCATGAGTGCAGTATCTCTCCAAGAGAATATTTGCATGGCCTGGCACGACGGGGAATTCCTTTTCTCAGGCCGTTCAGGTTTCCTCAGCCGCTGCCCCACGAGAGTATGAGTTTTCAAAAGCGACTAGCATTCATCTCAAGGTTTCCTTGCGTTTCATGCGAAATAACGAGAGGCGCGAAAAAGTGGAAAAAGTAGAATCTTCTTGAGAATCTACTTTTTCGTGTCGGTGGGCTTGTGCGCTGGATACGGTTTTTGCAATGTATTTTGCGCCATGGCGGCTTTCTGCATTGAAAACTGGAGCGGCCGGTTGGTTGGTTGGCTGCTTGGCGCGTTGGCCGGCCGGCTGGTTGGTTGGTTGGCGGTCTTGGGGCCATCTCAAGGCAGTCGGGGGGCCACTTTAGGCAGTCGTTGGCAGGTTGGCTGGTTGGTTGGTTGGCTGTCTTCGGGCCGTCTCAAGGCAGTATCGGGGTCATCCTGGGCAGTCTCAGGCTGGTTGGAAGGTTCGTTGGTTGGTTGGCAGTCGTGGGGCCATCTCGTCCATGCATCCGCCTCTTGTCCTCTATCCTTTGTCCGTCCTCCCCCCCTCGCGGTCGGCCGTCGACCCGAACGGTCGGCTGCCCGAGAAGCCGGCGGCCGGCCGCCGCTGCCGCGGCCGCTGTCCCCGGAGACGCCGCCGCCGTCGTCGTCGCGCGCAGGAGCTAGGTTTCCGATGGGGCCCTGGACATTTGGTGTGTTTTTCGCCCTTTTCCCGGGCTTCCTGGAGAAATTACAGTTTCCCCGTCGACGTTCTTTCCCAGACGCGGCCCTGGAGGGGCCCCGGGGACGATGTTTTATTCGCTGGGCGTAGGAAGGCAAATAAGAAACAGGACGAGGAGGAAACGGAAGAGGAGGAGGGGGCATGAGGACTGGAGGCGGAGGACGACGGAGGACGGAAATCGATGGACGATGCTTACTTACTCTTCCCCCCTTGCCGCTACTCCGTTCCCTTGTGTTGTTTTCTGGTTTCCGATTTTTAATATTTCCCAATGCTCCGTTTCCTTATCTTCTGTGGCGCTCCGCTTTTCCATTTTTCCACTTTTCCACTTTTCCGTTTCCTTCTGTTGGTTTCCGTTTTTCCACTTTTCCACTTTTCCGTTTCCTTTTGTTGCTTCCGATTTTTCCACTTTTCCACTTTTCCGATTTTCCATTTCCATCTGTGGTTTTCCGCTTTTCCATTTTTCCACTTTTCCACTTTTCTGTTTCCTTCTGTTGTTTTCCACTTTTCCACTTTTCCATTTTTCCACTTTTCCACTTCCTTCTGTTGTTTCCACTTTTCCACTTTTCCACTTTTCCACTTTTCCATTTCCGGGTCGGGCGTTTTCACGCTAACCGCGAGAGCCCAAATTCTTTTCCACAGACACCCACCAGGGAGGAAGAGTGGGGAGGAGGAGGATAATGAATGATGCGAAGGGAGGAGTAAGCGGGATGATGATGATGATGAGGAGGAGGAGGATGAGGAGGAGGAGGAGGAGGATGACGAGACGGGTGGGCCGGATGAGGATGAGGACGAGGACGACGATGATGATGATGGTCATGATAATATTTATGATGAAGAGACGGTGAGGATGAGGATGATGATGAGAATGAGGAGAAGGATGAGGATGAGGATGACGGTGCTCCAGAAGTGCGGGGCCCCGCTGTATGCGCCCCCAGAGTTGCACCCCCCCTGCGACGACCTACTCAAGCTTGCCTGTCTGGGGACGTGGGGACCTCAGTAGGCTTGCCAGTCCTAATTATTAGTCTTGCCGTGTCCCGAGGCGCACTTGGGCCGTCCTGGGGTGTCTTTGGGTTGTCGTTGGGCCGTCATGCCTCCTCCTCTGCTTCCTCCTCCTCCCTCATCCCCTCTCCTCGTCCTCCTCCTTCTTCTCTTCCTGCTTCTCCTCGTCCCCTGCGTCCTCCTCCTCTTCCTTTTCTCCCTCCTCCTCCTCGCCCTCTTCCTCCTTTCCTCCTCCTCCTCCCTTCCATTCAGCTACCGCGGCTCGAATAGCTCGCCTTCCTGTTCCCTGCCGGCTTTCCCTCCAAGGCAGACGTCCTCTGGTTTGGGGCCTCGCCCAGTGCTGTCTCCCAGGGCCCCCCTCCCTGGCGCCGACGACGCCGACGTCGACGACGGACGACGCCGCCGGCGACACCGAGGTCGACGACGCAGCGGCAACGACCACGCCGACGACGACGACGCTGGACGAGAGAAGAGGCCAGGCAGCTCGAGCTTAAGAACCACTTCAGTTCAGAAAGGTGGCTTCCTCAAGAACTCCCCTTTCGCGTTGCGTCGTCATCCGCTTTTCCGGCTCGAGGCTGGGGGGCGCGCGGGCGCGGGCCTGGCGCGTGCGCCCGCGGGGGGGCCGCGCGGCGTTTGCACGGCCGCGCGGCGTTTGCACCCCCAGGGTCAGCCGCGCGGCCCCGGGGCCGTCCGGCGCTTGCACCCCCAGGGTCAGCCGGGCGATTCCCCTGTGGGCGCGCGCTTCCCCGCGGAGGAGCCGCGCGGCGCTTGTACCCCCAGGGTCAGCCGCGCGCTCCCGGGGCCGTCTGGCGCTTGCACCCACAGGGTCAGCTGGGCGACTCCCCTTGGGGGGCTCGCTTGCGCCATGGCTGTGCGCTTCGAAGTGCTATTGGCGCGCCTGCTTCTGCTGCTGCATCTGGTGCGGGGCAAACGCGGTGTGGAGATCGTGGGCGGGCTGTTCTGCAAGCGCGAATGGGTGCGCGCGTTCCAGGCCGATGAGCTCACTGCAGCTGTTTGGCAGGCATTGCAACGGAAGCAACCTGCGCGCCCCCCGTAGGGAGTCTGCGATGCCTTACTAGCGCGCACATCGTGCGCCGCTTTTGGCGTAGGTTGGCGGCGTGTAAGGCGGCGAGCACGGGGCGCGCAGGTTGCTCCCGCTCCCTTCAGGGGCTGCTGGCCGCCGTGAAAGCCGGGGCGGTGGTGCTCGGGAAGACGTGGCGCCAGTTGGCACACGCGGAAGGGCTGAACATGGGCTACAGCGGAATCCACCCCATCCAGACCCTTGCGCGCAGCCGGCAGGCGAGGGTGCTTTTCGAGTCCGCGTCGGAAGCCTGGAGCACCGTGGTCCGGAAGATTCTGAATCGCGGGTACGTCGTCAACACAGATGATGTATTGTTTCTGTGGGAGTCTGTGCGGCAGAAGGTTGGCTTGGCCCTCCAGAAAGGCTGCCTCAAGAAAGCTGGCAGATACACGTCGATGTCGTTGGCTAGGTCTTTCGCGCAGGTGGCCGGCGCGGTGTTCCACCGGCGCGTGGCGGAATATGATGCCCGGCTGCATGCCGCGATGGCGACGGGGCAATCCAGGGGTCGATTGGAGTCCGTCGGGGACGAGGTGGGGAACCGGGTCTTCGCGCTCTTCCATTTGCCGACCCACGCCTCGTTCGTGGACATGATGGGCCAGCTGCAGGAGCGCGTTCGCGGGCTCGGGTGCTCGGTCGTTCACGTTCGGGCACCAGACACGATCACATGGCAGACAGTGCTCGTGCACCTGTGCGAGGTGCGACAGTGCGTGCAGAAGTTCGGCGTGCGGCAGCTCCAAGAGCTCATGGTTTGGTTGGCCGACGCGACCGAGGAGCAGCTCGGGGGCATCCGCGCGTACCACGGGGAGATCATGGAATCTGGCTACGCGGGCGGCTCGCGTTGCCACGCGGTGTACATCACCGAGAAGGCCGCGGCGGTGGTGGGCTACGTCCTGAAGAAGACGAACACCCCGGACACGTCCGCAGACAAGCCGGCCATGCACGCACTCCTGCTGGACATGGCTACACACCGACTGTCCCCTAAGATCACGACGCTCGCCATCCCAGAATGGCTATCCATGCAGAGCGCCGCCGCAGGCGTCCTCGAGGTCTACCGGTCGTCGAGCGATGGCGCCGGCCCCACCCCCGCCGGCCCCCCGACCCCCCTCTTCGAGCGTGGGGCTGCTTCTCGTTGTTTTGCGGGGGAGGGGCGTTCCGAAATCATGGGTGGCAGGGGACGCTGACGATCGTCAGCCGGCCGGGAGCGCCCGGCGGCTTCCGGGCGCTTCCGGGGGCAGCCGTGGCCCGACGCCCACAGGCGTGCCATCGGATGTGCGGCGCCCGCGGCGACGGCGCGGCTTTTTTTTTTTTTTTTTTTTTTTTCTTTTTTTTTTTTTGTTTTTCGTTTCTTTTTTTTTTTTTTTTTTTGTTTTTTTTTTTTTTTTTTTTTTTTTTTTTTTTTTTTTTTTTTTTTTTTTTTTTTATTTTTTTTTTTTTTTTTTTTTTTTGATTTTTTTTTTTATTATTTTTTTTTTTTTTTGGTTTTTTTTTTTTTTTTTTTTTGGTTTTTTTTTTTTTTTTTTTTTTATTTTTTTATTTTTTTTTTTTTTTTTTTTTTTTTTTTTTTTTTTTTTTTTTTTTTTTTATTTTTTTTTTTTTTTTTTTTTTTTTTTTTTTTTTTTTTTTTTTCTTTTTTTTTTTTTTTCCTTCGACGACCTGCGAACGAAGGCGGCGGCGCTCGGACACGTCGTGCCTCGCCAGACGACCCGGGCCGAGCTGGGAGCTCTCGTCGCGGCGGGGGCGGTGGAGCGCCCGCGGAAGCTCACGCTGGAGGAATTGCGGAAGCTGGTCCGGGCGGCGGGGGGCGACCCGCAGCCGGGCAAGACGAGCAATTGGAAGGGCCACGAGTGCAGGGCGTTCCTCCTGCGCAGGAGGTCCGCCGCGGAGCTCCACGCCAGCTTGCCGCCGGAGCTGAAGCGGCAGAAATTGTCCAAGGAGGGCGCCGTGCAGGCGCTTGCGGCAGATCCGAGCTTGCCTCTTTGCTCCGCGCCCTGGGTTTCTGAGTAGGCCAGCAGCCCTGTCGTTTTCCCGCACCGCCCTAGGATTCCGGCCCCCGGGTCGGCCTCCTCCTCTCCGCCGGGCATTGCACCCTCGGGGTCAGCCCCTGTCCTCGCTGTCTTCCTGCGCCGGCATTGCACCCTCCGGGTCAGCCGTGCTCCCGTTCGCCTCTCCTCCTCTCCGCTGGGCAGTGCACCCCCAGGGTCAGCCCCCGCCCCCGCGCGTTTCCTTCCCCGGCAGTGCACCCTCAGGGTCAGCCGGTCTCACCGTTATCCTTTCCTGCTCGCCGCCGGGCATTGCACCCTCCGGGTCAGCCCTCGTCCTCGGTCTTTTCCTGCCCCGGCATTGCACCCTCAGGGTCAGCCGGCCCCCCCGTTCGCCTCTCCTCCTCTCCGCCGGGCAGTGCACCCTCAGGGTCAGCCCATGTCCACCCTCTCTCCGTTGGGCCGTGCGTTCTCGAGGTCGGCGCGTCGGCGCCGTCGATATCTGCACCGTGCCTGTTGCCCGTCGCACCGCTTTTGGAACTGAATCGCCACGGAGCAAGCCCCAACCGTCCTCATCCTCATCTTCCTGCATTCCGCCGTCGTCCTCCGTTTTTGTTTTTTGGCTCGTGGCTGGGAGCGCGCGGGCGCGACACTAACGCGCACGTCCACGAAAGGGGCCGCGCGGCTTTTGCACTCCCAGAGTCAGCCGCGCGGCCCCTTGGCTGCCCGGCGCGTGCCGATGGCCTTGCAGAAGTCGATTGCCGCGTTCCCGCTCAACAGGCCAGCCCCGGGGTACACCGCTCGACTGAAGTGCGTGTTCTTCGAGGCGAAGCAAGTGCAGCATTTCGCGAAGGGCGTGGGGCGTTTCCTCGACCACACTGGTGCACCCATTTGGTTCGAGCTCACTGGCCAGTCCACCCAGGACGTGTTGATGAAGGCGCGCCTGTACCTCCCGGGCAAGGCGGGGACATTCAGCAACGTGACGGTGAAGAGCAGCTCGTACTACAGCGGCGGCCGCGTGATCAACCTGAACCCGAAGTCCAACGTGCGCTGCGTTGCCCTGGCGGGCGCCGACGCTTCCCAGCTACCTTCGGGGCCCGTGGCGCCTCGCGGGGGCCTGCGCGACGTGGGGATGTGCAACAACGGGGATCGAGTAGACGTCGTGGGCCGCGTGGTGGAGCAGAGGGCAGTGGCGTCGATCAAAAAGGTCGAGGTCTGGCTGAAGGACGAGGAGAGCGGCAAGTCGATTCTCGTGGAGCTGTGGGGCGACACGTTCTACGACATGGTGAAGGGGGCCCACGGCCTGGGCGACGTTGAGGAAGAGGCAGACCCCGTTGTGTTGCAGGTGGAGAACGCGCGCGTCGTGAGGAAGGAGTCCGGCCAGGTCCACCTGACTGCCGAGTTCTTCAAGGATTCCCAGAACGCATGCGCTTGGGCGCATTTGCAGCCGCGCCACCAGAAGGCCGAGGAGCTGAGAGCCCTGAGCGCCACGGTGGGCGAACGCATGTCTGCGGTGTGGGCCCCGAGCGGCGCGGTGGTGCGCATGCAGAGCCCGAAGCAGGGTTTGTACAAGACTTGCCTGCGCACATTGAAGACCTGCTCCCTCTCGTGGACGGAAAGTGCCGACGCAGCAAGCCCGCCGAACGCCGTGATGGAGGCATCCACCCAGTCGCCCGTCTCCGGGGGCCGGCCACTGCCCGCCGAGGTGCAGGTAGAGGTGCACGGCGCGTGGCTCACGGGCGTCTCCAACCCCGACCCCGTGTACACGAAGTGCAAGCACTGCCGCGCCAAGATCAACCCGGAGGGCAACTGCAAGCATTTCATGAAGCGCCGGCCAGAGCCAGACACAAACAAATCCGCTTTGAGCTCTGTGACCCTGGGGGATTTTACGGGCGGCATGGACGACATCTTGGCGGACGAGAACAGCCTGGTCGCGCTCGCCGGCGTCGCGAACCTCGACGAGTTGCAGCAGTTGATAGAGCAGCGCACTGTCGCAGGCATGTGCTTCCAGGTCCGATGCGACGTCGTCCTCGGCGCCAACCGTGAGAAGGTGGCCAGGTTATCGCAGGCCAAGCAGAGCCGGTCGGACGACGCTCGCGCGGAGTGCAACTTCGCCATATTGAAGGTGACGCCAGCGCTGATGGTGCCCTGGGGCGCGCCCCGGCGGCCCGCCCTCAAGCAAGTGTTGTCGCTCGTCGCAGACCACGGCGCGGGCGCCGTCCTTCCGGTCTCCAACCTCGCGACGGACCTGACGGACACGTTGTCCACCGCCAAGTGCAAGCAGACCGGCTGCGTCGCCGAGTGCGTCATGGTCCTGGCGCGCGCCCGGGGTGAGCCGACGCGCGCGGACCTCGGCGACATGGAAGAGATCACGCACGAGGAGGTCGTGTCCACTGTCGCGGACGGCGCCGACGACCCCGCCCCGTTCCGCGTGGAGATGCTGGTGCCCAAGAGTCGGGCGGGCGCGTCGCTCATGGATGAGGAGGACGTGGACTACCTCGTCGTCGGCCGCCCGCAGGGATCCAACCTCGCGTGGACGCTCGTGGCCGAGAACATTTTCTCGTGCAAGGACATGCCGGACGTTCGCAGCACTTTCAAGGAGGAGCTCAAGGGCTGTCGCGAACTGTTGGTGTCCAAGAAGACGTCGCTCGCGGGAAAGCGGCCGGCCAAGGAGTTGATCACTGAGACGCCTACGAAAGTCCGGTGCGTCCAGGAGACCAAGTAGGAGTCCGGCGATTCGTAGGCTCGGTCGACCCTAGTGCAAGGGGGCCAACGCGCGCCACGACGCCGTCTACCTGCTGGGCGCGCGCCGTGGCTGCCGCCCGCGGGGGCGCTGCGCCGTCAGGGCCAGCCCTCGTATTTTTCCGTCGGCCCCGCGCCCCCCTCGCTGCTGGGCATCGCGCCCTCAGGGTCGGCCCCCGTCCTCGCTTTTTGCCTTGCCCGGCATTGCACCCTCCGGGTCAGCCGGCCACCCCTTCGCCTCTCCGCTCCTTTCGCTGGGCATTCCTCAGGGTCAGCCCCCCGTCCTCGCTCTTTCCCTGCCCGATATTGCACCCTCAGGGTCAGCCGGCCCCCCATTTGCCTCTCCTTCTCTCGCCGGGCATTGCGCCCGCAGGGTCAGCCCGGTCTTCCTCCATTCGGGGCATTGCGCCCGCGGGGTCCGCCGGAGCGCGCGGGGGCGCTTCTCTTGCGAGCCGTCGCGCGCCCCCAGTCACCATGATTTCGGCGCGCCGATTCGTTGAATACTCGCGCTGGCTCCCTTCCCGCGTCGGACCTGATTCGGATATTGAGCTGGAGTGGGCCGGCGCCGCCAGGGCGAGTGCGTGGTCAGGGAGCGCACGAGATCACCGTATCAGTCCGATTGATTCGAAACGCCAGAGTTTCGGGGCCTGGGCCGCGCTTCGGCGCGTCGGAACTGATTTGGATCTTTAGCTCGAGTTGGTCGATCAACCCCGCGAGTCGCCAGCCCGGGGGCGCCGCGCGGGCCAGCGCGGGGGCCAGGCAGGTTGAGTTTAAGATCCAGATCAGTTCGGCCACGATTCGGATGCCAAGGGCGACTTGGCCCACAACGAAGTGGAGCACGGCGCGATTCAACGCAGCACGGCACATCTCAACCCAGCAAGTCACGTCCCTGCACAGCACAGCCCCTAACACGTCGCCCAGAAAAGTGCCGCGAAAACGTTGCCCAGCCGTCGCGCGCTCTTAGTCGCCATGATTTCGGCACGCCGATTCGTTGAAAACTCGCGCTGGCTCCCTTCCCGTGTCGTGAAAACGTTTCCACGCATGCGGTTCTATATCCTCCTCCTCCTCCTCCTCCTCCAACTTCCGTTGTTCGAGTGGCTCTCCGCGCCCGCGGGCGGGGCCGCGCGTCGCTTGCCCCCCCAGGGTCAGCCGGGGGACTCCCCTGCGGGCGCGCGCTTGCCCGCGGACGGGCCGCGTGGCGCGTGTGCCCCTAGGGTCAGCCGCGCGGCCCCTGGGCCGTTTGGCGATTGCACCCCCAGGGTCAGCCGGGCGGCTTCGCCGGCCGGGCGCCATGCTGGCGCGGAAGCGCCCTGCGGCGTTCGACT